TTCATTTAAAATCGATCTTTGAAATTTGGCCACTAGGGGAAGTTCTATCTTTTTTTAAGACTCAAGGCATTTTGGCCATTTTCTAGCAGCATTAGGCATTTTAATTATTTTTCAATAGCACTGTAAGGACATTTTAGTCACTCTACAGTGATCTTTTGATTTGTTTTTCCTACTTATTTATTTTTTAATTAGTTTATGATGTTGTTCTATAATAATGTTAATTTTATTTGTATTAGAAAACTTAAAAAACTTAGATTGTGAAATTTATTTTAATATATGGAGTTTGAATTGATTGTGATGTCGGACTAATGAGTCTCCTATTTATTAGGGATAGACGATGGTTCGATATATTTGTTTAGTATTAAAATGCTAAAAAAAATAATGAGTCAAGTTGGCTCAATTTTATTCAACATTTCACATAAATATTTTTAATTAATTAGGTCGTTCATCAACATATCAATTGTATCGGGATTTTAATTCGGATCCGATGCTAAATAAACGAGACTCTCAAATTTTGGAGCCTAACCTTAATTTAATATGATGCTATAGTAAAAAAAGTAAAAAATAATTTTGATAATGTTTTCTTTGCATAGGTCAAAATAAAACATGAAAAGAACAAAAAAAAAAAAAAAAAAAGGAAAGAAAGAGAACATTTTAAGCAATTTAACAAGTCTTTTATCCAATAAGGACTGATGTTAATTCAAAATCAATAATATTTTAGTAATTAGATTGTTCTCCGACATACCGGTTATGTCGAAACTTAAACTGGATCCAATGTTGGATTGATAAAACTCTCGATGTCAAGTTTCGACAATCAATTCAATATGATACCACAAAAAAAATAATAACTTAATTTGATTTACATAATAAACTTGAAAATTGACTCGAAGTATTTTGGCAAAAAATAAAAATTTTAGGAGATAAATTTTTAGGATTAAATCGTACGTGATACCTTTTCTCGAAAAGAGTGCTTTTAGGTAATTAATATATTTTCAAAAATATGACCAACTCTTTGTTATAAAATCTCTAAACTAGTGTCAATTTTAGGTTTTTAGTTATTTTAATATTAGATGATGGCTCTAAAAACATAATTTAACTCACATTCTCAAACAAACAAATTTTAACTTATTATTTTTTGAAAGTCCAACGAATATCGGGTAATGACACCCATTATTTTCTTAAACTTCCGTAAGAAAATTAGCTTTAAGTGGCTTTGTGACAATATCAAGAACTTGATCTTTAGATCAATAAAACTCAACCATGATTTTCTTTTTATCTCGTTACCACATTATGAATATAATAGTACTTAATATCAATGTGTTTGTTACGATTATAAAATACTAGATTCTTTGCTAGTGGCAAACGCAGACCAAATGTCCACAAGGGCCAAAGTAAATATTTATAAAATTTGTCATGGTTTACATAAACTTTTTTATATATATATATATATACTAACATATATTTTAAAATAGTCTCAAAATAGAGATCTTCGTTCTTTTAAGTCATGAAAATATTTATAAGCAAATCTACACCAAAATTTTTAGTAATTTCTTTTTCAATATACACTAATAAATAATAAAAAAGAAATTCATCTTCTATCTTGTTACGAAGCTTAGTCTTGACTATGTTCATAGCTGAAAATGATTGCCCTATGGTAGCCGTAGAAGTCTGGAAGAGTAAGAATAAGTGCTATCACTTTATACACAAGTGGATAACTTTCAATTTTTTTTTATCTTCATTAACCATTAACACAAATTAGATATAGTTGATAATATTTCAAAATCGAAAGATTCTATATATGGTCAAAATGCTCAAATTGCATATTTAATTGCAGCATTTTATGATCGACAAAATCTTGAGGGTAAAATTTATGTAACAACTTGCAAATATCGTCAATCCTAAATTATATGTGTATCTCTATAGGATCTAAACCCGAACTAAGAATGAGTAGCTCTATTGTATGATCATTGAATTAATTATTCAGTTCTTGCAATTAAGAATCTATCATAGCATTGAATATGTCAACTTTGTGATGATGCTCAACCGTAGTTGCTCTAAACATATTCATCAAGCTAGAAACAGATTTTAGATAAGAACTCCAACATATTTATCAACCATTGATCCAAATCAAATATGGTTAACAATGTTTCAAAATTAGGAAGATTTCATATATAGTCAAAATGCTCAAATTGCATATTTAATTACGAGCATTTCATGATCGAAAATGTCTTGAGGGTAAAATTTTTGCACCAACTTATAAATATCATCAATCCTAAATGATATGCGTATCTCTCTAGGATCTAAACTCGAACTAAGATTGAATAGCTCTATCGTGTGATCATTGAATTTATTATTCAATTTTTGCAATTGAGAATCTATCATAGCATTGAATATGTCAACTTTGTGGTGATGCTCAAGTATAATTGCACTAAACATATTCATCAAGCTAGAAAGCGACTTTTAGATGAGAACTCCAACGAGCATCCCTAGTCATTTTATAATATCTCGAACCCATTATTAAATAAATTAAATATATTTTAAGGATGTATAAAAATTATTATGTGGGCATAGGATAGTTGCCATGAGGATGCTAGAAAATTCAATGCACTTAGAATAATTTTTCCGTGTTTTGAGTGAATATTTAATCTATTTTTCAATGCATTAATTGTAACTTTTTATACAAATTAAATATTTTGAGTATTTTAAATATGTATGAAAAATATTTTATTTGCATAGAATATTTTCTAGAGGGTGCCAGATTATTCTATGCCATTAGGTGAATTTTATGATGTTTAGTAAATATTTTCGATACATAAATAGTGTTTTTTCATGCAAATTAATTATTTTGAGTATTTTAAATATGTTTGAAAAATATCCAATGGGCATAGAAAAATCATTAAAGAGGTGCAGGAATATTCTATAAACTTAAGTGAATTGTTTTGCACATAGGGAATATTTTATGCAAAAATTACACTTATTTAAGCCCTCAAATTAATTATTTATGTAAAAATACACTCATTTATCTATAGGTTAATTAAAATTCCAATTGAAGCATTCTCCAAAAAGTTAAAAAAATCAATTGAAGCATGAATTAGGATGGTGTCATATTGGAAATAGAATTGTGAGAAAAAAAAAAAGATAAAAGATAAAAGAGCATGGCATGGGGTGTTTCATGGGGAAAAAAATTGGGAGGATGGTGGACCAGGGCCTGTAGCAATCTATTTGGGTCTGCCCCTGATCTTTGCTATTGCAATAACAGATTTATTGTCACAGAAGATTTTTGTTGACCTGTATTTGACATGTCTGTTTAAGCCAGTGGAGGGGTGCTCAAAATTCTGCTTACTTTTGAATGTTGCTGTTCTGTTTTCTTATTGATTCAATGGGGAGGTGTAATAAAGTTCGAATTTTTATATGATTGGTAGCTCTTTTCAATTTTCATAAAATCCTAACCATAAATTTAAATAAATACCTTTTAAGTTTCAACGTTGGAGCTTAAGATTTTCAAGTAGAAATCCAATTGTTTAACCAATGGTTGTTTTTTTCAGACAATTTTTAGTGGCTGTTGGAAAGTGTTATTTTTTAAAAAGAATCGCTCCCTCTCAATTGAAAAGAGATACAGAGACTACAATAACATGGGCTTTTAGAGACTAAAAACATAAGACGCTAACGGGCTTGCGTTATGAATTTTAATTTGGACCTAGAAGATAAGAATGCAAATTTATGTCATGGGCCTCTTAAAATTTTTATTTATAATGATGCGGGTCAAGTTGCATCACAAGATGTCTTAATTTCAACTTATTAGGTTGTATTTGTTTGAGAAAAAACAAGTTTGGGGAGCTTACTTTTCCTATTTTTTAGTGTTTAATTATTTCACATTTAAGAAAAAAGTCAACAAAAAATGATTTCCAATCAATGAAAAATAATAATATATTTTTTGAGAAAATGTTTTCCAATTTAAAAAAGAGGAAAACATTTTTCTTCTTACGAGTTATCTCGCTCTTGCATTACTTACCTCTCTCTCGATATATTTTAATAATTTTTCCTCTATTTTCTTTTTATTCAAAATATATCAAATTAATTTTTAATTATTCCTTATAAATTATTATAAATTATTTAATTATTTTTTCTCTATTTCTACTAATATTTGAGTTATTAATACATTAAATATTCTTAAAAACCATTTTCACACCTTAAAATTATTTTTATAATAAATATTTCAATATTTTTATTTTTTAACTATTATCTCAAATACCACCTAAACTATACTTAAATGATTGGAAATGATTATTACACGACTACAATCATTTGTAAAATTTTGTTGGTAATTGAAGTGAATAATTAGTTATAAATTATTTCAATATTAATCTTTCAAAACCAAATTAATAATTATCTATAAATGGTAATTAATAATTTGTAAAATTATTTTTTAAACTAAATTATCATTTCAATTTTCAAAAAAAAAAAATTTAATTCAGCTTGCCAAAATAACAATACTAGGATTACGTAGAATTTTTTTTTTTTTTATTAAATGTGAATATTGACTTGGTTTTGTCTCAAGTAGTTTTGATGAATTGATTTGATGGTTAAAAAAGTACATTTTGTTTTTTGAATTTAAATTTTAGAGTTACTATTTATGAAAATTTATTAAATTTTTTTAAATGTATTTTATATTGTGAAATTGTGAATATGACTTTTTAAAGTTTCTCAAAACTCATTGATTTAACAATCACATACTGTTTTTACATTTTAATTTTCTATATCAAGCAAATGCTGGAATATATTTTTCAGTAGTTTTTTTCATATAATTTCCAAATAGCAAAAAATATTTTTTTGAAAATTAATTTCCTCAAAAATTAATTTTCCTATAGAAGTTGTTTTTCGCCAAATAAACGGAGCCTTAATGGCTTAGTTCTTCATAAAATATTAATTAATAAATATGAATAGTAGCTCTTCTATATAAAGGCTAGAGTCTCAATTATTTTTCTCATTTTCTGCAGAAAATGTCTCTCTGTGGTAGGATAGAGGTTGCTGTAGAAACTAACTTGCCTGCTGAAAAACTTCATGATCTTCTCAGCAGTTCTTTACCCCAGTTATCCTGCATCACTCCTGCTAAGATACAAGCAGTTCATCTCCTTAAAGGTGAATAGGGCAAAGCTGGCTCTACTATCTGTTGGAATTATACATTCGGTAAGTTTGCAGCGGTACTCAAAAACTGGTTGTCTAACCTTGTTATAATTGAGAGATTGCACACTTTTTTTTTCTTTAATGGGCGGTTTCAATGGGTATAGGATTAATTCTTAAGTCTCCATCCCTTTCCTTCCAGATTGAGTTTGAACTTGAGACGACATCCACCGGAAATTCTGATTCTTAATAGCTAGGACATTCTGTTAGAGATTTTCTATTTTCTTGAAAAGATTAACATTATATTAAGAGGTGTTTGATAATAAATTAAAAAATTAAGTTGTATTACTTAATATAAAAAGTTTGTTTGATAACCCAAATAATCTCATATTAAAAATTTAAGTTTAGTCAAAATCTACTTAAACGAGATAAGTTAAAATTTTTAACTTATTATTTTTTGATTAACACGCTCGATTGAAAGATTTTTAAAACTTTTCAAATATGACTTTATCACCTTAATATATTCTTATAATTTTCTCTATTATCCCATTGCTTTGCTAAAAAAGAGGAAACCTTAATTATTTAGTAAATACCAAACAACTTATTAGGAACATATTTAGTATTTAATTATTCAAGTATTTAAAATTCAATGCTTAACAGATTTAACACTTAATTGTTAGTTAAATCAAACATCATCTAATTCATAACTTATTTTCATGTTTATTAATTGTGGCCAGAGGGAGCCTCTAAGATTACCAAGGAGGTGATTGATGACATAGATAGCACGAAACTATCTATCACCTCCAAAGAAATCGAAGGAGATTTGATGGAGGCTTACAAGAGTTTCAAAATCATCCATCAAGCTACGCCAAAAGGTGAGGGCGGCGTAGCGCATTGGAAACTGACATACGAAACATTCCAGCACCAACAGCATTGCTGGACTATTTAGTCGATTTCACCTAGGATATGAATGCTTACCGGACCCATGGACAGACATGATCATCATGTTCTTTACTATGGATCTCAAGAATATAGTAAGTTCAGGTGTGGTGTTGTTAAAATAAGAAGAGAGACTGAAATTTGATGGAGGAAACCTTCTTCTTCTCCACGTACTATAAGCATGTTTATGTACATGCTCACTAAACATATGTACGTATTTGTAGATTTCAGTCTTTATCTTTACATCAACCTTATTCATAAGGGATTTGAGTCGTCAATGTCTAAGGTCATCTTATGTGTGATTTTGCTTGTAAATCTGGGTTATTAAATTCTCTCGTCTATCTCTGGTTTTTTCCCCATGGAAATAAAAATGGAATCTCTTTTAAGTATTTTTCTAAAGTATCCCTTAAGTGTACATGTTAAGAAGGCTATATATGCTTAAATTCTTCAAATAATTTTTTCTTAAACAAAAAAGTTCATCCTACATCACTAACTATCCAAAATGTATATAGTGGTGAAGATCCAAAATCAGTTACAAAAGCAGAAATTATTCATGTTCTAGTTAGTACGAAAATAAAAAGATCTATCTTTCTTTGAAATCCAAGAAATTGATACATCCTCAAACAAAAAAAATCTAATACAATAGTCATAACCGAACACACCAAATGCAATGGTTACAGTAATAGCTAAATATTATATCCTTTAAAAGGGCGAAACATCCTCCAAATTTTAGTTCATTTAAAAATCAATCTTTGAATTTTTAATTTGAATTTTGATTTTTTGAACTTTATTTTTTTTGAAATATAATCCATTCTATAATTTTTAACTATCACTCGTTTTTTTTTAAAATCAATTCTTAATATTTTAATTTGAAGTTTTGCACACACCTTGAAAAGAGAAATCCAATCTCTCTTCTTCTTTTTTTTTCTTTTTTAGAAAGTTTCCATATTTTTTTTTAACATTAGGAATTATATGTATTTATTTTTTGAATATTAAAAAGTTTAGATGGCTTTTTGTTGAGATTTCTAGATGCAACCAAAGCAAAAAAAACTATGAGACCCATGAAAGGATTTATGCTACATACATCGACAGACATATGATGACTCGACAAATTCAACGAAGTAACTACTTCGGACCACCATGGAAAAAAAATGACATCGATTATATACAAAAATGTCACAAATGTCGATTCTTGATGATCAAATAAATGTATCACCAAGCACTTCTTTTCAATATGATATCACCTTGGCCGTTTGTGATGTGGGGCATGGATGTCATTGGATTGATAAACCCCAAGGCAAGTAATGGGCACTCGCTTCATTTTATTAGCAATTGATTATTTCACGAAATGGGTCGAAGATCCTTCCTTTGCACATGTAACTTAAAAGGTTATATGTCGAATTGTTGAAAAGGATATCATTTGTAGATATGACTCTTTTAAAACTTTGGTGACGAGATAATGCTTAAAACTTCAATAACAAAATGATAATAGACGACTTGTGCCAATATTGGAAGATGAAGCATCACAATTACTCTCCATATATGCTTAAGATGGATGTGGCCGTGGAAGTGAAAAACAAGAATTTAAAGAAGATTACCCAAAAAATGGTGGTGAGTTATAAAAGTTGGCACAAGATATTATTGCTTGCCTTGTATGCGTATAGACTAATAGTCAAAACTTCAATAGGAGAAACTTCTTATTCTCTAGTATATGGAATGGGGGCGATGATGCCTTTGGAAGTTGAAATACCTTCTCCGAGGGTTTTGAAAGAAGCAAAAATAGAAGAATCCGAGTGGAATTCAATATGAACAAGTTGAATCTAATAAGTGAGAAATGAGTCACTACTATCTATCATGCCCAAGCAAGATCGTAAAAGAATGACCAGAGCATATGACAAAAAACAAAATACATCGAAGGAGTTTTCAAGAAAGAGAACTTGTGCTAAAGAAAGTTTTATAAATACAGGGGGTAGATTAGAGTAAATCGGCTCCAAACTAGGAAGGTCCATATATGATGAAGAAAGAATTTTTTAGTGAAGCTCTCATTCGACAAACATGGATGATAACGAACTATCAAAACTAGTGAATTCAGATGTTGTGAAAAGAATTACACATGAATTATAACTTTCATCGTTCAAAGTAATAAAATATTATTCAAAATTTTAGTCAATCCATTTTATGTGTTAGCTTTTTCCTTTGCTTCTTATTTTCTTTGATTGCCTCTCATTATCAAATATATGATTTTCTACCCTTTAAAAAAATCATATTTCCTAATGTGATGAGTCGCTAAAAGCCCATTTCTTTGGTTCTTTGTATGATGATGTATTAGTATTATCTATAAAACATGATAAACAATACAACATATCAAAAAATGACATGATGAAGAAGTTTATCAAAAATTCTATCACAATAAGACTTTCTAAATCGAGATTCTAGGGGAAAGTGAATCGTGAGACATTACGTATAATTTTGATAAAGTCAAAAGAAATTTCCACAAACAATAAACTTGACAAACCTAAAGAGAAAAATCCAAAGATTGAAAATGAGAAGTTAGGATATCACCAAACATTGATCGGATGATGACGACTTGATCTAAAAACCTATGACAGTATAACCACAACATAATGAGCGAGATAGACTAGCCTAAGAAAAGAAGTTAGCCTTGTGTATTGATTTTAGATAAGAAAGATGACACCGGAGAGAAAGGAAACAGCTTGATCCGGTCGGTTAAGAGTTTTGTTTAGCTAGTTAAGACTTATATTTTTAATAACAAAAAAATAGAACTTGCAAGCCATGAATGCATAATAAATGACAACCTATTTATTACACTTGACTACACTAACCATAAGGGGTCGGTCTCCCTAGAAAATAAATCAAACGAATGATATGTGTGTTTTAGCTTTGTTTTGTTTGGTTTTCTCCTTTTTTTATATATATTCTTCGCAAAATTTTCTATGCAAAGTCAAAGAGTAGTCCTTTGATGACTTTGTGAAGAAAGCATTATAAAGAAGGAGCAACTATTATTATCTATTTTTTATTTCTCTAGTATTTTCTTTTAATTCTTGGCAAAAACAAACAAATAAAAAAATTTAAAAAAAGGAAAGAGAGGAGGTCAATTTAAAAAAAAAATGGTTAAAATTAGTTTTGGTGGTCCAGCTTAAAAAAAAATAAAAAGTTTGGAAACCAAAGGAAATCCAATTGAGGGTGCAATTAAAAAATCCAAAACCCTATATCCTTAATTAAAAAAATAAGGACATAATTAAGAGAAATTAAAAAAAATATCTTGATTAATGTAATTAAGAGGGGCTATGAAATATGAACAAACAAAATTACACGAAAATTAACAAACACAAGAGGATCATGGATCCAAATTAATGTTTATCAAACCCTAATTTCCAACCCTATAAATAAGCATTATTCACTATAAATTGAAAAAGGGGACACTAATCATCATATTCTAAAGAAATCTTTGACGACTAACATGTCCTCTTTATTTTCCCGTTGGCTTAACTAAGAACTCCACCTATCACCCAAGTCATCGATCTCTACCATTCTCCAACAATGGTCGGCTTCCCTCCTCAACCGCAAGCTTCCATTCCTTCCCGTAGCCACTTGTCTCCTTCTTTCTCTTAGCTAACTAGCAACTCCACCCACCACCTAAATCGTCGACCTCTAGCATCCTCCAATCACGATCGACTCTCTCCCCTTAACCCGATGCTTCCATTTTTTCTCCCACTTAGCCACTTGTCTTTTTCCCCCAACTTAGTCAAGACACCAACATCCACCCATTTTAGTTAAAGCATTCCAGACCTTTCCTTCTCCTCTACTTTCTTCTCATCCATTCAAGATACTTTAGCAATCGCCTAGCCCTACCTTCATCCTCTCTAGCCGAGATAAGCATCAAGCCAAGAATAAAACATATTAGCCCCTTTCCTCTCCTTTTCCTCTATACAAATCAGGAAAATCAAACCACTAGAAGTCTCTATACAATAGAGACATAATTTGTTTTCCATTTCTTATCTCCTAAGCAATAACCCCACCAAACTGTGAGTTTTTTCCTTCCTAGTTAGCTAAGAGCTCCCCTATCGTAGCTAAGGGTTTCATCACACTAGGATACTTGATCAACATAAACCCACACCACTAAGGAGTCCTCTATGGAAAGCCTTTCCTCCTTTATTATTTCTAGTTGTGACCTTCTTTTCAAGCCGAGAGTTCCTCATCAGTAGTAACAATTTGAGTAGCCTTAGCTACTAGTAGTAAGCAACTTGAGCAGACCTCGACCGAATGGCGTAATAGGTTTGAACCACCCTAACTAGTAGTAGCAATGACTTAGGTAGCATATAACAAGTAGTAACAGTAGTCCCACTACTATTTAGTTTATTCCTACAACCTCCCATGATGCCTTTGACAATAAATAATTGCTCTCCTTTCTCGTATAATTGAATAACTAGTTTCCATCGAGAATAAGAGAGTGAAATTGATCCCAAACGTAATTTTTGGATAGTGTCAAGATATTTCAATTTACTTTGAGGTAACATTAAAATTTATCCTCATTTAACATTATTAATTAAACTACATTACTTTGTAAAATGTAATATTATTTTGTTTATGATTCGTTAAGTATTTAAAGTGCGGTTAGATACAAGCATTATGTATTAAACTCAAAAGAGTTAGACACCTCGAGTACCTTGTGTAACCCCCACAAAGTCCATGACTATATAAATGTACGTATTGAGCTATTCGTATTTATATATATACTATATATGGGTGTTACATACGACAAAACTCTTGACTAAATCACAATACATACGAGAAGGTTTGTACATAATAATATTGATCAAGAGTGAGATTTGTGTAACATTTTAATATTTTGGTGGTACATACATATTTGGGGTTATGTATGTATTTGTAAGAATAAATCGATCTACGTAAGTAATGAGGAGGAATAACTTTGGGTAAGTTAGTTAGCTAGTAACTTCCTTAATTATGTAATAAGTATAAGTTAGGATATGGGAAATGCTAATTACCAAATTTGTAGAGAAGTAGCTGAATTTTTGCAACCAAGCTAGCCTAGGAATGTAGTTAATTTAATTACCCTCAATTAATCATTACATGGACACCTTAT